TCTCTAGAAGAATGTCTCCACTGCGCAGGTCTCAGGGCGCACTCCTGGCAGGTCTCATGCACCTTCAGAAGGTTGGAAGTCCTGAGGTCTCCTGAGGGTACCTCCCTAATGGGAATGTGGATGTTAACTGCCTCTTTCTGTCCCTTGGCTCTGTTGAGAATGCCCAAGGAATCCTGAACTAGAACCACTAAAATCACGAAGAAAAGAACGTTCCAATTCCTCAGTTCGTTGCCTTAAGCATTTTATTACAGTGAGGGAAGCTTGTGACAGACACTGTACAGAGCTGGCAGCTCATCTTACCTGGTTTACAAGCCACCCCAAAGGTCACTCATTGGTGTCTTCTTTATTTGAACGTAATTCAACTCATTAAGTTTTTTCAGCAGAGCAAGGCACAGGTCTGAGTTTAGACCTTGACAGCTGAGGGCATCTGCAGGGTGACAAGAGCTATGTTAGTTTTCACCAACACGGAAACTACGCAACACACTGACAAGACCTGCCAGTGTCTCAGGTTATGTCCCCCCGAGAAGAACCTTAGAAATTATACTTTTCAACATCATCTCAAGTGCCCCAGCCTTCCTTCAGTATCCACAGGGTAGCAGGGCCTGGTCCAGCGTGTGTTCTGAGCAGATGTGCCGTGCACGGGGAGAGCAGGCTGGTGGGGGGAAGGAACGAGACAGAATGCCTGTGTCTGTGCTGAGACGGGATGGGCAGAGTTGTAGCTGAAGTTACAAACTGAGGTGCTTTGCTTCCGAGCCTATTGCACACTTGACAAATACATACCCTTAACCAGACCAGTAAATACCAAGCCCTGGGTTAAGTCCTAGGCTCAGGGCCATAACAAGGGTGCAATGGCTTCCACTGTAATTGAGGAAGAGAATCCACTACAAACACTTTCTCCACACAGTGTAGACCTTCAGGCTCTGCTGGAGGCAAACAGCATGCAGATGACTTCCCTGAACCCAACCTCAGAGACAGAGGAGGAACCTCTTCCTCATTGGCCACTCTGCTCCTCAGCTGGTTCCAGATGGAAAGGTTTTCGATGCTACCCACGTGCTCATGACTCAAAACATCTCCCAGGCCAGGACTTCCAAACACAAAATTGGGAATCCATGGCTGCTCTCTAGTGCGTGGTTGATGGGCAGGTGAAGCTTTACAAACACCTTGCACTGAGCCTCCCCACTGAGTTCTTCTTCCATTGTTCTAGCCCATCCCCAGGTTGCTGCTTCGTCCAGTCCCTCAGACTAAAGCTTTACATCAGCAAGGCTTCTGTCTAACTCATCCAGCAGCCAAACTTCCGGCAGAGTCTACTGACTCTCCCAGCATTATATCGAGGGTCCACGTGCTTTTCTCTGCAATTACAAAGTTGGTCAGCCACCGTCTGTCTGTATGCATCTCCTAAATGGCACCCTGAACTCTGCCCTTTTCGTCAGACAATATTTTAACGTCAAACCACACAGGGCCAGTATTGTTAACATTCGAGCACAATAGTTTCAGGCTGCACCTTCATTCAACCCATTCCTCACCAACTAGGTTTCCTCACCTCTTCCCTCCTCTCTGTTTTGTTTGCTTTTCCCTTCCACGCTGCCTGCTGGCAATGCCTGTCCAGTTCCTGCAAGGGTCTTCCTAGTGGAGCTAATGAGTGCACACCTTGACGTGGAATACAGAGGAGACAAAGACATCTGTGAGTTGTTCACACACCAGATGTAGGAACTAATTTGAGGCTACACCCGAAAGACCAGGGTGTTGAAGAAAGCCTTCAAAGGAGACTAAGATGAAGACATTTAAGATCTTAAAGGTAATCCACAAGTTCGTTGCAGCATAATGCAAAGAAGATAGAATGGCCCTTGAGCTGAAAACCGTGATGAGATGGTGACACGAGCTCTGAAGTGGGTCCTGCTGATTCTGCACCACTGACGTCACTGGTAACCCACAGTCTGATCCAGGATGACAGGAACCATCAGCTCTCAGTTGCTAGAGGAAGGTCAACATGGTCGGGTGGAGAGAGCTTGCACACCTCTTGATAAGACCAGCAACAGAGAGCGGGAAGAAATGATGGAGTCTTGACAGAAGGGAGGGAGTCACATGGACAGGATTATGAATACAAAGGGTGGAGCTAGGGAAACCCAGCCATGGGGAGGTCTGTGTGTGGTTTCTGTGTGCATGCCTGTGGAGGGCTGGGTGGGCTTTTGGGGATCTGTATGTAGCTGTCAATGGCAATCTCCCTGGAGGGAAGTTGATGCATCTCTGTGGACTTCTCCCAGGGCCCACACAGATCGTATTAGTCACTACTGTCTCCCACTCTGCGGTGTCTGTGATCATCTCCTGAAATCTGCGTGGATGTGTGGGTGGGTCTGTGAAGGTGTCCGGAAGTGTAGACTGTCAGTGTGGGATACAGTCAGGGACTCGAAGGATGTGCGTGGTTTCTGTGCTGGGGAAGTCTGTGTAGAAGTGTCTGGTTGCAGCTTGGGGGTCTCTACCTGTGGATTTCTGCCAGGGACTCTAACCTCCTTCTGTGGGGTTCTCTGTGGTAGTCTCTGTGGAGTGTTGTGGGATAACGCTCTTGTACTCTGTAAACATTTCCCACTTGTTTACTGGTTTAATAAAATGTTGATTGGCCAGTAGCCAGGCAGGAAGTATAGGTGAAGTAGCCAGAGTAAGAATTCTGGGAAGATGAAGGTAGAGACATAGTCATCATTCAGAATCAGAGGAAGCAAGATGAGAATGCCTTACTGAGAAACGGTGCCAAGCCACATGGCTAAACTCAGAAAAGAATTATGGATTAATTTAAATTGTAAGACCTGGTAAGTCATAAGCCTGAGGTAATAGACCATACAGTTTATAATTATGAGCCTCTGTTTTTCTTTGGGACTGAACAGCTGCAGAACTGGGCAGGCCAGAAACTTCCATCTACAATTGAGATGTTTGGGGATCTCTGTGTTTTGAACCATGAAGGTCTCTGGGAGTAGCTTTCTGGAGCCCTAGGATGTTTCTCAGTGTGGGCTATATCACGGACTTTGTAGAGATCTCTTTGGGACCTATCGGTCAGAATTCCTGTTGAGGTCTCTGTGAGATTCTCCAAGCCCAGAGCATATCCATCACAGCTGACAGGACTGACAGTGGCAGCCCCATTCTTGCTGCCTGGTCTCTCGGCATCATCATCTCTGGCGCTTGGACCAGGAGGACTCCTGGGACTCACTCCCAAGACTTTGCTGGACCCAAATGTGCCTCCTGGGTTCCTGAGAGGACCCAGTAGTGCCAACCTCAGGGTCCTGGCTTCACTCTGTCTTCTGGGACAACTGTAGGCTGCTCTCATTGATATTGGGCTGGCTCAGAAGAGGCCAGTTTCTCTCATATCCTAAAAACCTGCTGGGTGTCACAGGTAGAATCTCAGGTTGTGTGCTGGACAGTCCCCATGTCCATGTCCTCTACCTGGGTGGGACTTTCTGGGACAAGGTTTTCTACCAGGGAACAAGTGACGCTGCTGGAACGGTTCACTGGCTGCCTTCTGTGAGGAACAGTGCAGGCCACCCTGGGGAGTGGCTGCTCTTGTGTGCAGTTACCTCCATGTGTTTCCTAAGAAACAGACCCTGGGGCACAGAAACCTGGAAAGGTAGCAGAGAGATGCCCAGGAATCCAAAGATTCCAGCCCAGAGATTCAAAGAGCACCTGCACTTTGGACAAGTTCCCTCTTCTGTGTGAACCAGCACTATGAGGGGGCCTGTTCTGCTGGTCTCATGGGAAGGCAAGGGCTGGAGGCCTAGAATGACTTGCTGTGTGACCACAGTGCATCCCCTCAACCCTTTTCAGGTGTCCTCCTTCCCTTCAGAGTAAATGCTGGCACACGTGTGCGTGCAAAACAACCAGGCTGTGAGGCACGTCCAGAATTCCTAACTTCTGGCCTTTCCACCAGCTCGTCTCTAGAATTGAGGAGGTAAGAACATGCAGATTACTGGACGTGCTGTTGGGAAGCTAACTTCCATCCTTTCAGGATTTGTCTCAAGTCCTTTAAAGCTAAAGGGCTCCTCCAGTCCATGGTGGAGAGCCTGGGGGTGAGACCAAGGTGCGTGACTAAGACCCCGATGTCAGCGGTCTGTACTGGAAGGGCAGGGGATTCACATGCGTGGAAACTTTCAGGGCATCCTCGTGTTCCGTGGCCTCCTGCCTAGGCTCTAACCTTTGTATTTTCTACCACCAGATGGGAACTGTATATACGGTGGATCAGAAGGAAAGACAAATGTCCCAGAGTCATGAGACCCTCAGCAGCCACTCTGCAGCTGCCACCCTCATGAATATTTGTCTTTCTGTGCTGGCCACCATCCTGGCATTGAAGGCAGACATAGGACAGGGTGATACTGCTTTGCCATCCAGGCTGAGCTGGTTGGGGCTGAAGAACTCAGCTGATTGTCAGTCTCCAATGAGGTGAGTAGGGGGTTCTTAAGATCCCTAGAGCCTATGTATCCTGGCAGGATATCCACAGGTCATGATTCTCCTGCTTTGAACTCAAGGATGGCACATTACCATCCTAATGACTGTGCCTACTTTGTGACTTGGGTAGACACTGGGCTGGCTCTCTGGTGCCTCTGTATACAGCTACACAAAGATCAGGTTAGAGCACATCAGGAGAAGATATTTTGAGCTGATCCTTAGGGTGGGGTCTTACGTGGTTGACGTAGCACTCGCCCCAGTCCTAAAGAATACTTGTTTGAGTTTTATAATGTTGATTTAGACTCTTCCCCTACACACACACACACTCACACACAGGCACACACATGCACACACACACACACACACACACACACACAAATCCAAAAAACTTTTATTTCCATAATTACAGTATAACTGACTCTAACTAGAGTGATGGAGTTAGGAGATGATTCAGGCCCCTCTTTGTAGAGCCATATATTCTCCTGAAGCGGTACTCTAAGGTGGACCAGATGCAGACACTTCTCTGTGGCCTAGCATGCAGATACAACAGCAAGATAAAACATACTCAGAGGAAGTAATGTCTAAAAGTTTTCTTTAATTTGGAGAAAACACTTGTTTTCTAGATAATACATTTTCTGTAGAGGCAGTGCCTTGGGCAGTGGACAGCTATCCTCGGGGCATGTGGAACCTGGCCTTGCTGCTGATGGGGACTGACTCGGGAGACAGGGTCTCTGGATACCTGGGCCTGGTTTTTTCCATAGGGCACTCCTTTGTCTTGGCAAGATAGACTGTGTACCTTGATGTTTGCAAGGTGAGCTGTGATACTGTTTTTTTTGTTTTTATTTGATTCTGTTGTAGGAATTCTTTTGTGGAAGACAGGCCTCCTCACTGCATTTGAGGGAACACAACTGTGGTTAACTCGCAATTTTCCCTTTAGAATTTGCCCAGCAGTCATCATAAGGTCTTGTCCTTCAGCAGCCTGTCGGGACATGAATACTTTACTTATGATGGACCCTTGGCCTTGGGCAATTGATGGTAAACCCTGGCATTTTTGTTTGGAGATCTGTTTTACTTTGCATTTTGGGATTAATATCGACAGTATAAATCTTTTTATTCTGTCACAAAAATTTTCGTTATTTGACCTGTGGTCTAGGACAGGCTTCGGCCCTTTAATTTGTATGTCCTGCCTAGAGGCCGGGATATCTTCAGCAAGCGGACCCTTGGGGGCCCTGTCGTGGCATGACTTTCTAGTGCCGCCATCCCGCAGGACGACAGCAGAAGCCGAGCAGCGAGGTGTGCTCAGGCCCGCGTCGTCTGCATCCTGGGGGAGGGCTTTAGAAGGTGATGGAAGTCTTCCACTTGTCTTTAGCAATGGATTAATTTGAATATTACCCATCTTCACAGCTTTCACGGGGAGTGTCCACTCAGAGGAATCTTCTTCCTCTGCCTCCTCCAGCTCCTTGGTGTCCCTGCTCCTTGAGAACTGGGAAAGCGCACCGATTACACGAACTGACACCCCTTGGTAGTTACGTCTTGAGGTCACCCCATCTCTCTCCTCTGATTCGAAGATGCCTTTCAGTTGGCCTGAACTCGGCTCTGGGTTGTCTGTCTCAGATCTATTAACTGTGTTGCTGTGCCAGGCTCTGCCCACGATGGTCTTTGGGGTGAACACAGAAGTCATACTGTCCCCCTGGGTCACCGTAGGGGCTTCAAAGGGCCCAGAGTTGATACGAGGTGGAGTCTCGCTCAGCCATCCTAGGTGGAGCGCAGGAGGATAGTTCTGTGTGGACTGAGATTCCACGGTGGAAGCTGTTTTCATCGCTTCCTTTTCTGGGTCTCTCTGGCTCCATCTGTGCCTCACCAGGCGTCGTGTAACTTGTGCTTCTAGCACCTTCTGAGTGCCCGGATCTAAGAAGGAAGGCGCATTAGTAATTTCTGTGCTAGTGGTTGAATGACTGAAAGATGTTGTTTTCCAAGTTCCCATATTTGGTTTTGTGATTACAGGAGGGTAATGTTTATGGTCTAAACATACCACACGACCGATTTCCTCGGGCACCTTAGTGTCTCTGGTTTGCCTCCACTTACTGTTCCAGCGGTTTCTCAGGGTGCCTGCCAGCTGTTTCTTTCCTGGTCCCACCGGGGAAACATTTTGCACATTACTTCTTGGGTGTCTCCTATGGCAAGTTTCCACCTCTGTCTCAGGAACAGCCTCGAGAACTCTGCCTAGGGAATCATCTGGGCTCCTGTAGAGATCTTTTTTCAGAGCTCTTCCCAGACATTCTGTCAGATCCTTGGGTGGGTTTCTCCATGGTTGGAATTTCTCTGGACCCTTTGACAAGAGACACTGTGGAGTCTGACTGCTGTTATTTGGCTGTGCCGAGGGGCATGAAGTCCTGTGATTAACTTGTGCCTGACCCAGGTCCAGAGATAGCTGGACTTTGTGGGGCCATTGTCCTTGCTGTTGCTTGAGTCTCTTTTTTAAGTGTTCTTCCCTCTGCTCCCGGTATTTGGGGCTAAGGAGTTTCCCCTGGAGATGGACAGCAGACCCCTGGCCCTGCGAGACCCAGCTGTAGGAAGTGTGTTGGTTAAATGCTTCCTGTGATTTTTTAACTATGACTGGTAAATTGCTCATACTTTCTAGATATTTCTTCAAAAGGTGGCGCTCTAGGTGTTCAACAGCACGTGGGACAATAACTTGGGGTCTTGAAGGTGTAGGGCAAGAAGCCCCATCATCCCTAATTGGAGCTGAATCACGTGATAGCTTTGAGAAAGAGGATGGGTAACGGGCCTGGATTTGGATTCTAGTCTTTGGTGGAGATTGGGACCAGGAAAATTTTGGAGTCCAAGGTTGGGATTTGACCAGGTGGTGAAGCAAGGGCTGTGGAGAACAGAGCTGTGGAGGGTCCTTTGTCTGAACGTGTAATGGGCTGTAAGCAGAGAGTCCATTGAACAAGATAGAGGAGCGTTCTAGTGGGGACCCTGCCATACCCACAAGGGACTCACTGTGGAGAAAGGGGAGACCCCAGTAAAGCTGGGTATGTGTCTCCTTTAAGTCGTTGCCAAAGACCTTCTGCTGACCCGGAAACTGCCCAGATATGCAGTTTTTGTTCCAGAAAGGGCGTGAGGTGATGGTGGCCGGTTTGCTATTCCAGGAGTGCAGCAAGCAAAGGTCAGATCTTTCTTTTAGTTCGACTCTTTTGTTAACTTGAACCTCTAGCATCTTCTGCATGTCCGGGTTGATGAAAGTGGGCTCCCCAGCCTCTATCTGCCAGCATGTGGGGCCTGTCCTGAACGAGGCCTTGTGGATGTTGAGTGGAAGATCCTCTTGCAAGGACTCATCAAGTGTTAAGTTTGAGTGGCACAAGGTTTTGGCAGCTAGCTGGTACCTGAAAGGGCCTGAGATAGGCATACTTAACTGGTCAAGTCCTGGAGTAGTTGAGGTAGGCCTGTTTGAATGGTCCAGGTCTGGGGTGGTTGAGGTAGGCCTGCTTGAATGGTCCAGGCCTGGGGTGGTTGAGG